TCAGATAGAGAAATACAACCTTCTCCAGATGTTCCATTCCTTCACAAATGACTACAAAACCAATATTAAAATTACTCCACCAGCTGCCAATGAGTTTTTGGGCAAGGTGTAGAGTATTGGTTGTTACCTTTAAATTCCTACATGGTTTGGATCCAAGTTACCTATGGAATCACCTTTCCTTGTATAATCCACCCACATGTCTTCCGAGATCCAAAACTAGGCTGACCACTGGTACCCTTTCCAGATTAGATAGCCAGTCTCGGGTTGTCCCTATGTCTCGGACATTATGCGGCACCTGGCTCCCTCACCGTATAAAACCAAAACACCGCATGGGGTTATTATAATTGAATTATTGATTTTAATTGTAATTGATATATTGATTTTATTCTGTAATTTTTTAATACTGTTTTAAGGGTGGGAGGGATACATTTTGTATTGTATTTTATGCTGTTAAACGCCCGGATTGGGAAACCATTGGGCGGTATACAAATAAATTTTATTATTATTATTATTATCATTATTACCCAAAGGACATTTTTTTTCAGCCATCCCTAGATTGTGGAACAACCTTTTGGGAGAGATTTGTCAGCTAGATACACTGCTTGAGTTCAAAACAGCAGCAAAGACCAGTCTCTTCCAGCAGGCCCATCCAGATGTGTGTTTTTTTTATTATGAATTTTAAAGTATGCATTGACTGTTTTCGATGTGTATTGATTTTATGTGCTATTTTAACTGGTGCAATGTGTTTTCAGCTGATGTTATGTATCTAATCTGTTGTTGTTGTTCCCCATCTTGATCCACAGGGAGAGGCAGGTAAGAAATAATAATTATAATGGCCAAAATCCTGTATCAACCTACACTTAACTCGGGGGGTTGCAGACTGCCAGAAATAGTGCAAATTGAGTCCATTTTTAGGGTTAAGGTTAGTGCTAGGGAATCATGGGAATTGGGTTTTTTTCTGAGACATTGAGTCTTCTCTGTCAGAGAGCTCTGGTGCCACAATAAACTACAGTCCCCATGATTCCCTAACCCTAACCCTAACCCTAAAAGTGGACTCAATTTGCACTGTTTCTGGCAGTCTGCAACCCCCTAAGTAACTTCTTCAGGGCCAACCCTTCCAGACCTAACATAAACCTTATTCAACTGTGCTCTATTGTCAACAGAATAGACCTCCTTTTCCATATGCAGCTGATGCCAGGTAAAATAGGTTGAGGGATGAATTACGATCATGACAATACAGTCATCCCTCCACAGATTTGATCATTCACATATTACTGCATTTGTCCCTGCCATTTGCAAGTCATTGTCAAAGGCAGACCCAGGTAGATAGCATTATAGTAGTCTGATCAGGAAGCTATCACTGTGGGTAAGTTATTCCTACCCAGAATCTAGAATACTCCCTAGCTATGAACTTGGTCTTTCAGAGAACAGTACAAATTTTCAGGGGTTACATATCCAATTCCCAGACTTGGGAGCCACCAATCCACAGACTATCTAATCCAGATTCAGTTTTGGGGTTTGTTTTTGTTTTTTTGCAAGACATTCTTATAAAACAATAACAAATCTAAATACTCAGGAATGTCCTTTCCTAGTAGCTCAGCATAAAAACACAGTTGTTTGAACTAGGACACCCTTTGTAATGTCTGCTGTTGAAATAAGGCAAACTCACAAGCCAAATAAAACTCCAAGGCAGCAGAGGCAAGATTTATGACTCCAGCCAAGCATTGTGAACAAGGTCTGACAAATACAGGAACCTCGGTCCATTAAATACTGTACAGCTGCTGCAAAAGCAGATTTGCTTGAAAGAGACATTATTGGTCTAATTTATAGCCAGCATCCATCCCTGCCCTTTTGTTACAGGGACAGGAACCGTATTACACCTCCCAAATAAAATGAGCTGATCAATCCAGGGTGGAAACCATGAAACCTTCCAAAAACTATTGGATCGCAGCACCCAGCATTCCTTGCCATTGGCTGGGCTGGCAATGGATACTGGGAGTTTTAATCTAGCAGCATCTGGAAAATGGCTTGTTTCACGTCGCAGTGTGCCAAATGAATGCTTTGCCACATTTTGTAGACATTCAGTGACTGCTATCTGTAATGGCTGTACCCAAAAGGTGGCAAAGAGGGCGGCCATTTTGTTTTGGGTGGCGGCCATTTTGTTTTGGGTAGCGGCCATTTTGAATCTCCTCAAAAGTAATTTGGGATTTCCTCCGCATTTGAAAAATCTCTGCAAAACAAGGCTTTGCAGGAGAAGCCAGAGAATGTTTCAGTTCCCTTCCTCTTCCAAACATTTCACTTTAGCCTGTGAAATACAGCTGAAATTGTTTAAGAAAACATTTTATTTTATTTTATTTGTTAAATGGCTAAGAAACAACCCTTGTTAATTCAGCGCAGCCTTCATTGTGGCGGTTCCCAGCTTTGGCAAATTCCCTAGCTAGCCATGCTGCCTGGGGGATTCTGGGAGCCGTAGTTCAAACAAGTCACTTTTCCAAGCTCTGATTCCCTGTAGCTAAGTCTAGCTCAGGGCTTTGGGAGAAACCTTTATAAATAGCTCAGCAGGTGTTAGACATTGTGGCGGATGGTGACAAAACAAGAGGGATAGAAAATAAAAGGGGGAGAGGGAAGGGATTCCCGGTTTTGATTTGTATTTTGAGCATCTTGGCTTCCTCCTCCCTCCAATTTTAGTGAATGGAATGCTTTTTATATGCATGGGCACCAGCTCAGTATTCCATAACATTAAATTAGCAAAACGTTACCATCTGTGAAACAGGACAAAGAAAATCTAGAATAGAATTTTGCTCGTAGCACAATGGGATATTCCCCCACCCTGACGCAGCGGCTTGTTGGTATCTTTTCATCAACAGACTGTCTGATCCTTCTTTCTAGGATTGCAATGCACACTTCTTTTTGGTATCCAGTTAGCAAAGCTCACAACGTTCGGTGTCTTTCCTTACAACTTTCATCTAAGTTTTGATTTTGAAACAAATAACTTGGTGGTAGCGTGGTGTAAATGGTTTGAGTGCTGGACTATGACTCTGGAGAGCAGGGTTCGATTCCCTGCTTGAGCATAAAAAAAAATACCCACTGGGTGACTTTGGGTCAGTCACACTCTCTCAGCCTCAGAGGATGGCAATGGCAAACCACTCTTGAACTTGAAGCTGTCCCAAGTTCCTTTGGATCCTGCCTGAAAATGATGATAAGAAACGATCTGCATGCTCCGTGCAAGGACTCCGTGCAAACAATCTGCATGCTCCGTGCGAGCCATGGGATTTTGGTTTTGACTTTGCTCTCGCCTTCTCAACCTGCTTAAACCACTGGGCCCAATTCCTGCTGCACAAGGCCTCCTTGGAGCATGGCCAAGTCCCTACCCATCCTGCTATGCCCTTCAAACCCTCCTTTTCCCACACCTGTTATGCATTAAACAGCAGACTGCGCCTTCCCCCAGTAGAGAAGAGAAATGTCGGAAAGCTCTGCTCTCAGATGCACTTCCCAGCTCATTAACTTTTACGAGTGGGCCATGCCTCCCCC